TGATGGTCCAGCCCCTGGGAAGGGTGTTATCAGCATTGGGAATGCAGAGAGGGAGCTGAGTACCCCTGTGCCCACTGAGCCTGGTCCCATCTTACACCCTATCTACCCATACCTGCTAACTAACCTCTTCATCAAAGCGCTGAATTGGAAGAGCCAAAGACTCTCAAATCACCTCTCCTGTCCAATCTCCTCTCAAACTCAGGGTCCTCCACTCACAACAAGGGCACCATTCTGTTCTGATTAAGCATGGTTTAGCAACAAAAACAAATTATCTTGCAGCCCCTAAACACTCATATTTATTCAATTACTATATGCTTAGATATCTCCAATCTATACATTAAATATTAAATATCTTCTGTTACAGGCAAGAATAATTTGAGATAAATGTTCTAATATTTTCCCGCACCCAGTGGAGGCCTGTCTCCAACAAAAGGATGACATCTTTGCAAGGACTTCTAGGCCTGAGCCCAGCCTGGGGTGGGGGAGGGGGAGGTGGGGCATGGGATGGGAGTCAGAGTCAGTTGCCCAACCTATAAGGAAAGGTCAGAGACCCTAAAATCTTCTGAAGTGTGTGGCATTTGGTCTAGGTCATTGACGACAAATCGCATCCTGTGTCACAAATTTTGGCAAGTTCTAGGTGGCCTGACTTTTCTAGAAGTGGGAAAGGAAGATGGGGAAATAACAGTGGCTCGCAGCCAGTAGGAACTTGCCTGTGCCCTCCTCTCGGTGGTATCACAGAGTCACTACAATCCCCCAAGAGGGACCCTTAAGAGAGGCCTGGCTAAGCCTCCTGGGGGATGTTTCCTGGCGCTGAGATGGCAGATGTCCGAGTTGGAAGGGACACTCTGACCCACGGCCTGGATTCATAGTCAGATTTACAGGCTCTGAGTGGCTGGAGGCTCCAGGACATCTCCAGGCAGATGGGGAAAAGCAAGGCTATAACTCACTGTGTCCTGTTCTTCTCTTACTCCTAGCCTGCCACTGTTCCCCAGAGGCACATGAGTGCAAGAGCCACTCAGTGGAGCACTGAGATGGGAGCCCCAGGTCACAGTGGAAATGTCATGATACTGGCAAGGGCCATACACAGGGACAGTCATAGATGCTCACATACCACACACCCAAGACTCATCTGGAGAGTGGGCCAGCATCCTTTCCAGACACGAAGGGTCAGCTGGCAGAGTCTGGCAGGGCAAGGATTAGGGGTTTCAAGGATTAGGGAACTCGGCAGGATCCTAAGGATTCTCCTAGACTTCAACTCAGCCCTCCAGGTCCACCATGCAAGCATTCTCAAAGCCACAGCCAGGGTTCCATGGGATTTTCCCAAACTATCGTGTTCTCAGCTTCCAGGCAGCCTTGGAGCTGATGTCCTCAGCCCCAGGGGGTACTATGAACGCTTAGCCTGCTGAGCACACTGGAGCTGAGGATTGTAGGTCATGGGGGATGCACCTGAACCCAGTATGAAATCCTGCTGCCAAAGAAGCCCAGGGCTCCAGCTTCCATCCTCGAAATCACTCTATCCAGGGTCTATAACCTCTTTCCTTTCAAACCACACCTCCGAGGCATGCTTCAACTCCACCTCTCTCACTGGCCTTTGTCAAGGCTGGGTCACTGAGCTCAGTCCTTAAAATGGAGCCGAGGTGCCTAGGGAGCAGAGCCCCCAGATGACCCTTCATGCAGCAGAGAGTCTCCAAGGGAAAGGGAAATACAGAATCTAAAAACCTGCCAAACACCTGGAGCCCTATGGCAGATCAGCAGATATACAAATGGCGGCTCAACGCCCTAGCCAAGAGTACATAAGTAAGTCTTTGAAAGCCCAGGTAACGGATCTCAAGAACATCTGACACGGCGACGCCCCTCTCTCTACATCCATCCGCTTTGGACAATGCAAGAGACACGCTATGCCAAACCAATGCAACCCAGTAGGACCGGCCCAGGGAGGCAGCCTCAGCAACACATCTTCTTGGCCACCACCCTCCCGCCTTTGTGTCGTCAGAGCCTGGTTGGGTGTGGCTGCCCATGGACCCTTCTGGATAAGTCTATGGTATATTAAGACCTACAACAGCAAAAAGACTGCCCCTTTGAACAGAAAGGGAACAGAAGGGATCTGGAGGGAGGGGTTCTTTGGAGCCACTGGACTGTGGCTGGATGGAGGCAAGACCCCCACTTCTTCCCTGATGCCTTGCGGCTGATTTTCTCCTCATCTTAACAGGGTGGTCAAGGGAGTAGGGTCTACCCAAAACTCTAGATGGGTACAGCCAGCACTCAGATTGACACTGCAAGAGAATTAGAGCTACAAGGTAACAAATCTTGTCTGCCTAAAAACTGTGCTCAAAAAGTTCACTATCTGAGGATGGATACCTTAGAAGAGCCCAAGAAGCTGTCTGTCAATGCCCAGAATCTGCCCAACTGCATGCCATCGCCCAGAGCACCAGGCCAACAGGCAATGCTCCTCCTGACCCCGTATCTCTAGAAACATATATCTGAAAGACATCTCTCTCCAGGCCACACTAAGGTCGAGCTCTCCCCTGCCCTGTTTTCCTCTCTGCCTTCAAGCACCCACCCCTTCCAGTAGGCCTTGGGTTGGGGGCCTGACATGTACGTTGGACAGACCAGTATTCGAAGCTAGAATCAGGTCACAGGCCTGGGAAAGGATACCTTTGCCCTTAATCTTCCATTTCTTAAGGGGTACGACGAGAACAAGGGCATGTGCATCCCTCCATGAGCACGACTCCTCTCCCACCTTGGGGCTCTGTGCCTCTGGACCGGGAGTCTGAGCCCTTGAGTTTAGTCAACACCAGACACACACGTAATAGGACACTGGGGGAAAGATGGAGTGAGAAGGGGTCATCCAACCCCTGACCTCTGACCTCCCCCACCACCTACTCTGTGGTGTCAGGTGGATTTAGGAGAGTTCTGATGGCCAGCTAGAGTCCAACACACACTGAGGGGCTCCGGATCCACTCCCTGCTCATACAGCCACAGGCGCTTTCCTGGGATCCTCTAATGTCAGGAGGGGGCAAGAGGCCCCCTGTGTCTCCCTTCCATCCGTGCCTCCAGGAAAGACCAATCCTACTCTTCCCTATGGAACTCCTTCCCAAAGCCTCCGTTTTTTAGAGGTGTGACACCTCCATGTGTCCATGCAGAGCCTATGTGATTGTGATCAACCCTGCCTCCCTGAGGGTTCCCAGGGATACACACATCCTTGGAGCAGAGAACGAGCCAGACACAGCTCACCGGCTCCCAAACTCTCCAATCCTTGGCACATCCAATCACCTGAAAATCTCTTTGCCTCCACCCAGGGGTGTACTTCCAGGTCTGAGTTTCCCTGACAATCCCCCTCCAGACTTTGCCCCAGGCCCCCTCAGAGATGATGAGCAGGCCCGGTGGCCTGCAAGGGGGTTGAGGCTCTTCCCTTGTCCTCATCTCCCTTCCTCTTCCCCCTTGGTTGTCTATCTGGTCATCCTTGGCCAGCCTAGAGATGGTAAGGAGTGAATAGCAGGGCTAAGATATGGGTCAAGCTTGTCTCCTGCACCAGGAGTCAGGGATATCTCCTGGGGCTGCCCATCTCCCTCAAAGTGTAAGCTGCAAGAACCCAAGCCGTCTCCCTTGAACCAAGAAGGCGGGTGGGCTCTAGAGACAACAAGACTGCAGTTCCTTCAGGCTTTGCAGCCCTGAGGCAATGGCTGGAGCAAAGAGAAGGTGGACAGGACACTGGGAGGGAGGGCAGTGTCCACAGCACACTGAGTCCATTCTTGCTCTAGTCGGTTCCCAAGGCAAAGAGCTATCCTAAATGCCTCCCTCAGAGCCTGGCCACCATCCTACCCATCCTTTAGAAGCCCTGGGGCAGAAAGCAAGGAGGTGTCCTCTGGACATCCCAGGGCCATCCACACCCTTGAGGGTGTGTGGGGGGGTTAGCCGGGTATCAGGGGTGGTGGTCAGTCACCTGGCTGAGGGATGAAGGAAAGGCTGTGCGGGCTCCTGGTGCCTGAGCTCTTTCTTTCTCTCCCTCCCAGGCCTCTGGCCCCTGTCCCTACCAAAGAAACACAACAACAAGAAAAGAGCAGGCCACCACCGACCTGCGGGTCCCACTCAGACGGGGCGAACCAGGCAAATGCCAGGTAGAGTTCAATTTTTGAAATAAACAGAACCGCAGAATTGTGGAAGAAATCCCTTTCCCAAAACATGGGTCCTCCTCCCTTTTCCCTCCAGCAGCCTGATTCTCAGAATTATCCTGGGCAGTTACCGAAGCCCAAGCCAGGAGGAAAGGGTCTGTAGGCGCCCAGATGCGGATCAGGGTGGGAAGGGGGGGGCGGATATTTCGAAAATGCCCAAAATGGGGTTGGGGAGGGCGGCGAGGGGGAAAGGAAAAGCAAAGAGGTAGGCGTCCATGACGGCCTGAACACGTCCGTCCAAAGTCTCCTAGGGAGCAGTCAGCTCCCAACTTGTTTACTTATTGGCATGTTTTACTGTCTCCAAAAGGAAAGAGTTAAAAAAAAATCTCGACCGATTCTCAAGCAGTCCCTATCTGTCACCTTCCCTCCTCCGCTAAGCATTGCCTCTGCCGCCGCCGCTATCTGCCACCGCCTGTCAGGAAACCGAGCCGCCTCTACTTTATTCCACTTGAGCGTGGCCAAACTGTTGCTATTTAGTGGGGGGCAAAGAACCCAATTCGCACCCTCGACATGAGCCGGCAAGAGGGTGGAGGCGGGGACAGGAGCTGGGCCCCCGGTGCCCTCCGTCCGAAAGGGTCCTCTCCAGGGAGAGGTACCCACAAGCATCATCCGATCACGCCTGGCTAAGGCAGGAGTCACCTGGAACACGCAGCCCTACAACATCTCCCGAGCCAGGGCGAGCCTGACGCGCGCCCGGCAGGCTGCGAGCAGAGGCGAGCTGGGGAGCGCAGGGCCGGTTCCCGGGCCGCGGGCGGGCAAGAGGGAGACGCGGAGCTGGGGCGTGGAGTGGGGGTGGGGGGCGGGCTGGGCAGCGGCCGCCTGACTTACATGGAAGTGATATTCCTTGAGATGTCCGTGATGTTGATACTGGCGTTCCCATTGCTGTTCCCTGAATCCTGCCCTTCCAGGAGGGGGAAGAGGTTCCCATCGTCCGGCCGCCGGCAATTGATCTCAGTCTTGCTGCAGACACAATTTGCAGGGCAAGCCAGCACCGAGCCCACATAGTCCAGCCAGACGCTTCCCAGCAAGAAAATCCGCCAGAAACTACACTTGGCTGGGCAAAGAGAGACATCCATCTCCGATCGCTGCTTCTAAAAAAGAGGAGGAGGAGGAGAGGAGAGGGGGGTGGGGTGGGGGGAATGGGGAGAGCAGGGGGGGAAGGAAACAAAGACGACGAGGGAGGGGGGAAGGGGGAGGGGGCCTCTGCCTTTGAAACGCCGAGCGATCAGATGCAAAATCCTTCAGCGTCGGAAACCATCGCGGCCGCCGCTGCCGCTGGGTGGGAGCCGCGGGGAGCGCCTAGTGGCGCGGTCTGCCGGGCATGGTGGCCGGCTCGGCGCTCGCCGGCTTGCGGGGTCCAGGAGCTCTGGAAACGAGGCGCGCTCTCCGACTCCGAGACTTTGCAGGGTTGCAACAACAGACGGTGGGAAGGCAAAAATAATAATAATAAAAGGGGAAAAATGGTGCTAAAGTCACCAAGTCCCACCTCCTGGGCAGAATTAAAACGGACACACCTGCAAAACACACTCGCACACACTCACATACACACGCGCGGAGCTGGAGGAAGGAGGAGGAGGAAGATGCAGTCAGAGCTGCAGCAGCAGCCGCGAATGGCTCGCTACGCGCCTGCAGAAATGTACAAGTGCTCCGAGCCTTACGAAACGCACGGGTTATCGGAGCGTCTTCCTCGGTTCCCTCCCTCCCTCCTCCCCTCCCTCCTCCCCTCCCTCGTCGCGGCCTCCTCCCCCGGCCCCCCGCCCGGGCTGGGAGAGGCAGGAGAGCGGAATCTCCCCCTCCCTCTCCTCCCCACACCCCTCTCTCTCCCCGCCCGTCCTCTCCCTCCTGCTTCCCCACCCACCCACCCACTCGCCGGCTCTCGGCTCTCGCCGGTACCGCCACCCGCAGCCGCGCCGCTGCCCGCCCGCTCCACGCCTAGCGGCCCCACGACCGCTCGCCGCAGCCGAGGGGGAAACCAAGACGGAAGGGAAAAAGTTGCAGTTGGGATTCCGAGGGTCGGCGCTGGGGAGGGAGAGTTGGCAAGCTGGATGCGCGACACGAAAGGCGTTCTCCTTTCCACTTTTTGGCCCTTGTGCTGCCCGGTTTTGCTGCAATCTCCTCCGCGGGAGGAAGCGAAATGAGCGCGGCCGAGGTGACCCGGGGTGCTCCCCAGCCTGGGTGAGGGGCGCAGGCTCGCGGACAGTGGCGGGGGACAGAAGCGCACAGGAACCAGAGCGAGACAGCCAGGGACGCCGGCCACAGACGTGCCTAGATCTGAATGACACTCATTTGGGTAATCGAGAGTCCCGGGAGCTGGGCTCGCCTTGGGAGGGGACTGCGGGACATGGCACGCTGGGTGCCCCCATGCCCACTGCTCCTTCTTGGCGGTGCGTTTTGGGTTCCGCCTTGGGCAAGCGGGAGAGAGAAGCCGAGGGAAGGGGGAAGGAGTGCCCGCAAGACTGCACAGGAGAACCGAGGTGGCCCTGGGCGAGCTATGCAAAGGAAAGAAACGGCCGGGAAATTGAGATGCAAAGGGCATTTTTTGGCAAACGCCACGCCAGCACCGTCAGAGGCCGGCTTCTTGGGCTCAGTCCTCGGGTGCGCTGAGCTGGCAGCCGGGTGAGGGGGCGGGAGGGCTGCTTTCTCCGGATTTGGGGGGCGCAGAACCTCCCTCTTTTCCTCCCCACAAACACCCCTTCCTGGTAGGGGCGCAAAACAGGTGCAGCCTTCGAGGCAAGTTTAGACCCGGTAGGGAGAGAAGTATATTCCCCGCTTTTAGCCTTGATAGGATTTTAAAAAATAAAAATAATATGTAAATATGTGAAATGGGAACTATTTCCTGAGAAAGCCGGAGATTTTGCTGTGGGAGAGGAGAAGAAAGGGTTAGGGGAGTCCGAGCAGGCAGACACACTACAGCATTCACACTCAGAAGAAAGCGGCGCTCTCCTCCCCAAGCTTGGGTGAGGGCCGGCAAGGAAGCAAAATACATTGAATTCAACTGCATCCAGGATCTGAAAGGATTCTCCCCGGCCCCCCTGTGGATTCCGATGCAGGTCATGCAACTTGCAGGCAAGATGGGGGAAGGGGTATTGCAGTGCCACCAGCCTGCCCCTGGTGCCACCGACAGACAGACCCGATGTCTTACGGGGCCACTTTTTGCAGGGAGTAAACTTGGATGAAAAGGGGGAAAGAAAAGAACATGCCTATAAAAGGCAGTTTCCCCGACTTCCCATTACATTCTGCCTCTCTTTGGCCTCAAAGAGACTTACACCCTGTCGCCATGATGGCCTTGTCCCCAGAATGGCATTTTGCCCTCCCGCCAGCAGGAGGGGACAGAGTGGAGACCGCCTTAGACTCTCAAACCAATTCCTACTGGCCCCAGGCCACTCCGTGGTGTCCTTGTCCACTGGGAACCTCCCTAACACTTCAAGTGCCATTCTGAGTGACTTTGGGGTTCACTGGGGAGCAGAGAGAGACTAAGCCAACACACTGACCTTGCCTCTGTCGGGTCATGGCAGAGGAGAAGGACCAGGGAACATTTCCCAGAACACCCAAGCCAGACAGAGTAGCTAGGGACTGCCCGAGTGGATTTAACAGAGTTCCAGTGTGGAGCGAAGCGTGGTTGTATCTTAAAGGGTGCCCTGACCGTGTTAGACAGAGATGATTTTTAACACATCCATCCTGCAAAGAAGGGTAGATATCAATAAGTCGGGATTAAAAACAAAACTTTAGAAACCCGTTCAGAGGGGGTAAATCCAGGCTGTGAAGTAAGGAGCTCTGATGGTTCGAGAGGTCTTTCCTTCTTAATTGTGGGTGAGATTAAGGTAGGGTGCTAGGGTCTCCCAGGAGCTTTGAGCTTAAACTGAAGAAGACCCTTCTTTATGTATCCGGACTGCAAGTGGGAAGAGCAAGTTTCTGCCTATGACCCTGGACAAATGCACTTACACTCTGGGCCTTAGCCCATCCATGAAATGCCCACACTGAACCAGATCATTGCTCTCCTCGAGCTGGTGACATCTGTAGTCCCTGAAAGCTTGTGATAATATAGCTCCTTAGGCCCCACTAGAGACTTTGTAAAGGAAACATTTTAAGAGGTTTCCCCAGGTGATTGACAGGAATGGAGGGGGCGGTTTCAGAGTCACTCCAGCTTGAATCAAGATGAACCTTGAGTGAACGGACATTGGAAAGGAAGAGGGTTTGCATGTGTGTTCACAGTAGCATCCTGTTAGAGTAAAATGAGCTGAATTGCTTGCAGAAACAGAACTTTGGAACTGCAAGATGGCTGTCATCAATAAAGTGCTGACCACACAAGCATAAAGACTCAGCACCCATTTTTTAAATGGATTTAGCAATAAGCATTGCTAGGGAGCATAGACACAAGAAGGTCTCCAGTGAATGCTGGACAGCAAGATTCAGTGAGAGGCCCTGTCTCAAAAAATAAAGTAGGGAGCAATCAAAGAAAGCATGAGACATCAACTTCTGGACTCCACGTGTACCCACACACTGTGCAGTCACATAAACATGTACACACAGAGACCTTAGCTGCCAGTGCAGCTCTTACAACCCACAGAAAAGCAGCCAAAGAAAGCCAGACTTGGGTGAGAGAACAGGACAAAGTCTCTGGCATACACTCCCTCCTCTCAGTCAACAGGTACCCAGAGCATTTGGAGTATCTTATCATCCTGCTGAGAATGTCCTGCTTGACAAGGAAGGATGACTTGTCATATCATCCTGAATTCCCAGTGTGTGGCCTCTGTGTCTTGGAGATATGACTCATCTCAGCATCCAGACAATCAGGCTAATCTGTCCCCATCTCCTCTGCTGCCAGATGGAGTTTCCTAAATGAGGAAGCTCATCCCCCACCCCCTGACCAAGAAGAGACAAGAAAGAACAAAGTTTGTTTGTTTGTTTGTTTCCCCTACAGAATATAAAGCTCTAGAAAGCTTTCACATGGAGGCAGATGCAAGGGCTTAAAGAAGATTCCAAGGGGTCCCGGAGGCTCCAAGGACGTCTTCAAACACATAGGCCAGACAGGACAGCCTAACCAGGCACAGAAGATCTACTTTCCATATAGCTACAGACATCAAGCACATGGCTCTTTCTTAAAAGAAACTTCCCGGCCGGGCGGTAGTGGTGCAGGCCTTTAATCCCAGCACTCGGGAGGCAGAGGCAGGTGGATCTCTGTGAGTTCGAGGCTGGGCTGGACCGATAGCCTCCAAAACAATACAGAGAAACCCTGTCTCGAAAAACCAAAAAAAAGTAAAAAAAGAAACTTCCCCAGATGTGTGAATGCCTGAAACTTCTGCTTGACTGTCAAGAAGGGATTCAGTGCCTCAAAGTCCCTGCACCTAGGAAGGGAATAAAAACTCCGGGAAGCAAAGGACATAGCAGGCTGACCCCAGCAACCACCGTTTTCCTGGACTTCCACTCACTGCTGACAACTATGGCCTACTGGTTATCTTTTACGCCTTGCCACATCCCATTTTCCAATGGACCCACACTTCTGAGTCAGTGGCCATGTTTCTGGGATGCAGGCCAGCCCCTAAGTATTGTGGATCCACCTACTACGTCTTACTCCTACGCTATCAGTCTGCATGGAGGAGCTATGCTGCATAACTTTCTAGCTTGAGCAGATTTAGGACCCGGTTTCTAAGTGGGAGCTGGGAAAGGAGCTGTGGTCCTGAGTGGCAGCTGTGAGCTGGCTAGAGTCCCTACAAGAGGAGCACCTGAGAAGACAGCGGGAGACTGGGCTCTGAAGAACTTGCTATTCCAAAGGGCTGCATGGAAGTAACTGGGCTCATCTTGTGCCGGGAGAGGATTGCGCAAGATGCCAGTACAAGAGGCCTGACTGGAGGCTAAGAACATGCAATGCTATCCACAAGGTCAGAGGCCAAAGAGAGAATTTCAGCTGTACCAGGATGCTGAAAACAAACCTGGGAAACTAGACAAACTGAGCGTAAGAGTCACCCCACAAAGCAGGGAAATTTAAACACGGGACACCCCATTCATACCCTGATTCAAGTTTTAAGATCTTGGACAAGCATCTACTGTGTTGACAAGGTGGGGAGTGCCCTTGCCTCTTGTTCCTATCCATTAGAGAAGCTTCCTCAATAGATTTCTTGATTGTCCTACTGAAGTCTGGGTGAGCCTGTACCACTGGTCTACCTACCCTGACGGTCAGACCCACAGCCTATCCTGGCTGAAACAAACCTCCCAGGTCACCAAAAGTCACTCCACTCGTACAGGAATATCCTCAGCAGCATACTCCCATTCCCAGGTCACCCCTACTTTGGCTTTGGACATCCTCAGGGACAGGGTGTTCAGTATCACCCCAAACCTCACCTCCCACTTGGTTTCAAGCACCCATATTCCTTGGATGGTTTTCATTTTGAAATGATAAAGCCAGCCTCTCTAAAGCTTCTGCTCTGGTACTGATGCTGAACCCACCATCTTTTCTACATGACACAGGAATGACTGCCTCCCTGCTACCTCTTATCTGAGCAGTTATTTCCCTATGTATTCAAGTTTTCTAGATCTTCCCTACTCTGGATGCGGCAATGCATTCAAGTTCTTCAATTGCTTTAAGTCCCACAGGCTTCCAGTGATCTAACTCTGGGGACCCAAATTAGTAGAAATCTATGAAGAGACTAAATATAGTATCGTGTTACTGAATGAGAGTTGAACTTGCCTCCCATAAGT